TTTCTTTCTTTCTTTCTTTCTTTCTTTCTTTCTTTCTTTCTTTCTTTTTTTTTTTTTTTTCTGGAACCTGGGATTGAATTCAGGCCTTTGCACTTGCCAGGCAAGTGCTTATTCTACTGAGACATCTCCCTGACCCTGATTCTGGGTATTTTCAACACATTTTACTCATTTAATTTTTTTTTTTTTCCAGTACTGGGAATTGAACTCAGGACCTTGCACTTGCCAGGCAGGCTCTTATTCTACTGAGCCATCTCCCCAGCCCTACTCATCTAATTCTAATCTCACCAAGTGAAGCGCTGTGAAGTATGTACTAAGATTCTCCGTTTTACAGAAGAGGAGACTCTTTCAGTGAGGAAAGTCTTTCAGTGAGTGGGTGGGAAAGCTGGCCGCCGGTATCAGAGCCAGGCCCCTTGTCCCTGCCCCAGCCTATGTTAGTCCCTCTGGCTCTGAGACAAAGTGCTGTGGACTGAGTGGCTCACACCATGAATGCTCAGTTCTGGGGGAGCCTGGAGGTCTGAGGCGAGGTGGCGGCAGCTTCAGTATCTGTCCCCACGGGGGCACCTTCCCCTAAGCCTGGCCTAGTGGAGGGGGCAGGCCATAGGTCACTCTCCAAAGGCCCCATCTCTCTGTAAGTCACCTTTTAGGGATGACCCACAACATGACATTAGATGACAGCTTTTGAACTACAACAGTCTGTGTCTGTAGTTGGTTCTCTCGGGGCCACCTTCTCCTGCACATTGTGGTTCTATTAATGTCTTAAAATATTTTCACCATGCTGTTCCTTTGCACATGGGATAAAAAATCCAAACGTCACAGTTTGCCTGTGTTCCTGTGCTCCACAGGGTCCCAGCCTTGCTGGCTTCAGCTTCAGTATTTCCCATGAGTCTTACGCTGCAGAATCTTTAATTTTTTTTAAAAGACAGGATCTCTCTGTATCACCCAAGGTGATCTTAAACTCTTTGATTCAGGCGTTGACTAAGCTGATCTTAAATTCTTTGGCTCAAGTTACCATCCTGCTTCAGCCTCCTGAGTAGCTGGGACCAAGGCGTGTGCCACCACATGCAGCTCATTTGCCAAATACATTTTCTCTCCATCTTTCTGGATGTTTCTGAATATTCTATCTTGTCTTCTTGTCCAAGTCTTCCTCTTTCTTCAGATCCTAGCCTATGAGAGAAGCAGTTACAGCCACCAGCATGTGCTTGTCATGTTTCGTATAAGAGTTTTTATTTCTTTTATGAGCTATCAGTTTTTGGGCTGTCTTAAACCCCTAGCTAGGCCCTAGAAGTATTTTTTAAGAGGAGGGAGCATATCTTCTGTCTTTCTCTCACTTTGACCCTCAGAAATGAAATCTACTCAAAACACTTGACTGAACTCAGTAGCAAACCGCTAACAGCATTCCTTTCTCAAGTGCTTCTTGCTTACTGGATGCTGTGGCAGTGCGCTGAGGTGCTTCTCATTTAATTTCCACTTAAACCCCTGAATACTGCATGTCCCTTTCCCAACCTTTTTTATATCCCAGTTTGCTGAATAAGGAGAAAGGAAAGCCCAGAGAGGGAAGTTAAGGACCTTCCCCATGGTTACACAGCTGGAGGGTGTCAAAGCTGGACCTCAAGCCCCTGTGCCTATAGCCTAGGCACCCCACACCACCTGCTGCATTGTGGGTAATTGCTTTGAAGGTGAGAGGGCACAGCTGCCTGCTCCCATGTGACTGGCCGCAGAGGACAGGGCTGAAGGGGATCAGTGCTTTTTCTTCTGAGACACTGCTGTTTCTTCCCAGGTCTGAAGCACTGCAGCACAGAGCACAACTCCAGCCTGATGGTGTCTGAGTCAGAGTTTGACAGTGACCAGGACACCATCTTCAGCAGAGAACGGGTGGAGCAAGGGGACGCCCAGAGTTCTGTGAATGACTCCGTTGGGAACGGCACCTCGTTCAGCTACTGCTCAAAGGACAGATAATGGTGCAGCTCTGAGGCAGGGGCCCCTGCTCCGCGCAGTCCACACACAACACTAGCTCCTGGTGGCATAGTTTGTTGCCCCTCCCACAGGGCGGGATGTGTGTCTCCTCGGAGTACAAGACTGGAGTCTTAGAGTTTTCAAGACAAAAAGAAACAAAATATTGCCCTTTTAACTGGGCTGCTTGTTAATCAGAATAAAGGCTGGGTGAAACTCCCAAGATATATACTTACAAAAGTTGTGTAAATTTGTAGCTGGTACCCTTTCATATTGCTTATGTTAAAATAAGAGTGAACGCCTGTTTCCCTATGCAGACCCTTAAGCAAGAGGACTTAAACAAGGATATTGGGACGGCAGGTCACCCTCGGTAGTTGCAGTCACCTTCCAGGACAGCTGACCGAGAAAGGCTTCTCCAGCTGGACGTGCAGCTGGACTGCTGGGTGCATTGCCTTCCTTTGAGGGGCGAAGCCGTCTGTGTGCTGAGCTGGCACCTCCCGGGTCTGTTCCTCAGCCAGTAGTGGGCATGCTCTCCTGAAACCTCCAGAGCTGAGGAAGAGTTGAATTCCAGGGCTGGAGGCAACAGCAAGGGACGTGGGGTTTCAGGACTTGGAGGCTCAAGGTTAGTTGACTACAGCATTTAAAATTCTTTTGCAATTTCATTCTCTAAGAAAAACTACACTGAGGCCTCTCAGCTCCAGTCTCTGTCAAGGGCAGTAAAGTTGATTCGGAGTTCACGGAGCACGCAGCAGGCATGTGATGTAGCTGTGCCACCGGGCTGCCATGAAGAAGGGTAACAACCACGTGACTGTAGGGAAGCTCTGGAGACAGCCCGTGCTGATGGAAGCGGATGGTCTGGACACTGGGCTACAAATGCTTCCCAAAGGGTGTCTGATGTAGACATCTGTACCGTGTGTGTTTAAAAAATATTTAAAAATAAAACAAAACAACAAAAAGATACTTGTTGAACAGCTTTCTATCAAATATTATTGTAAACATATGGAAAAAATCAAACCATTTCCACCCACAAGTTAACCCAGAGCAGTTAACTGAAGTTAATTGTGACTTGGCCCAGTGGCACATGTCCCTAATGCCAGTACTCTAGGCAGCTGAGGCAGGCAAATTCATAAGTTTGAACCTGATCTGGACAATTTAGTGGCTTAGGCCTTGTCTCAAAGTGAAAAATACAAAAGGGCTGGGGATGTGGCTCAGTGCAGAGGACCGGTTTCAGGGCCCTAGTACCACAAAAAAAGATCAAGGTGATTGATCTGTGAAAGACCCAGCTGCCCGTGGTCCTGAGGCCTGGGACAGAGCAGAAGGAGAGAGAACCAGTGTTGTGGCATCAGGTAGGGACACACCCATGAGCATCCTGGTGCATGTGCTTCATGATGTGGGGTGTGGCTGGGGTTGCCAAAGGTCACCCTGAGTGAGGAACCTGGGAACAGAATGCCATGTTCTGTCCCCCTGCACTATGAACTCCCTCCCTCAGTGTTGGAGGGTAACATCTGCAAGTTCTTCAGGATCCCCTGAGAGTTCTGTTTCTAGGATTTAGAGGAAGCTCTTTTAACATAGCCAAGAGCAAAAGACCTAGGGAGAAAGGGCCCACTTGTTGCTCCTTTTAGATCTCTGCGGGCCACCCCTCCCTGTACATCTCGCTCCTTTTTTGTCCCTGGTTGTCTTAGTTGTGGCCTCTCCAACCCTTCCACCACAGAGGAGCCTTGAATCTATAGGGATTTAAAAAATAAACAGGATAGTGGCAATGAGAAAGAGGGACTTCTGGGGGCCTGGCCCTAGCTCAGTCCTTTAAGTGGCTGCTTCCACAAAGCTGTCAGCCTCAGGTTGCTGGAGTTCGAACCTCACAACTCTCCTGCAGGCCAAAAGTGCCCTGAAGGCATTCGAGGAACAAAAAAAAACCCCTTATTCCAAAATAGTGCTTTCTGGAAAGTTGCATTACCCTATATTTTCTTCTCATAGTATTTATTTGGAATAATGGAAAGTGTGGTTTT